CTTGACATTAAAAAATAATTTTTCACTTAATATAACCTTCAGTCCTTACCTTTTACTTGTAATTTGTAAGGGAGACAACTGCTTTGGATTTTGTGTGTGTAGTCTAGAATTCTGGACCTAAGTGAACGGTGTTATATTCACAGCAAAACCCACTGAAGGTCATTTGGAACTTGGAGGTGAAATGATGGAAGTAATGAGAAAGACTATCCATTGCTGATTTAGCAGAAGGTAAAATCACTGTGCCTTGTTTTTAACCTGCCAGAGTGCAATTGTACTTGCCAGAGAAAGATAGAGACCTGGGGAGAGAAGTGAGAATCCCACAGTGGGACATGGCCACACTTCAACCCCTTCTTCTTCATTTCTCCATCTTATTAGAATTTTGAGTACACATGCACTCAATGTGTGGTTTTTTTAAATTATAAATTACTTAATTTTATTTATTATTATTATTATTAACATTTTTAATTTGCTGTAGGGTACATTTGCTCACCAGAGAGAAAGAAAGAAAGAAAGAAAGAAAGAAAGAAAGAAAGAAAGAAAGAAAGAAAGAAAGCAAGCAAGCAAGCTGCCAGGTCTGGGACTCAAATTGCGGTCGGCCATGTGGGAGTCCAGTGCCTTAACCACCACGCCACCTGCCAGCCCCCAGCATAGTATTTTTAAGCCTCTGGGGTTGAGATTTAAACCATGGTCAGCCATATGGGAGCAGGCTCCCTTAATAACTAGGCTACAGCACTGTCCCTAAAAGCTGTTATGTGTATAGTGGCAAACAGAAGCTCATTCATTGAGTCTAATTTGGGATTAGGGATAAAAAATCTACTACTGAGCTAAACACTGCCTTCCCATATGTTTTGTATCTTCTGTCATTTTTTTGCTTTGCTTCATAGTTAACTTTGTTCTTCAACTGTTTTTCTATTGGTATGTCTACTTTTTCTCATTGACTTATATAAACTGTTACTCTCAAGGAGAGTTCCCAGTTTTTTTTTTTTAATTCACAAGTTTTTTTTTTTGCATTTTTTTATTTTTATTATCAAACTGCTGGTTCCCTCTAATTATTTTTTAAAACAGTCCATCACTATTTCTCCTTTTGCTTATAAAAAGACTTTACACATCATGAAATACTTCTCAGACCAATCCAGTTGAAAATACTATACATGTCCTCATCAACAGGTAATAAACCATATTTGTTTCTCATCAACGTCCTGCCTCTCTATTGTTCTCTTGCTATCTTTCTCTATCCTCTTCACCTCCTCCATTCCACACTGTCCTATTCTCGTTAAATACCTTCACTGCTTTTATGTCCTCCAATTTTTTGCTCTCTACCGTAGAATGCGGATAGTTGGTATATATTGAGTGGATACATACAATATCTTTCTTTCATAGCCTGGCTTACTTCACTCAGCAATAGATCCTCCATATCTGACCACTTTCTATCAAATGGCAGGGTCTTGTTATTTTTTATGGCTGAGTAGTATTCCATAGAGTATATATACCACACTTTTCCAATCCATTCATCAGTTTGTGGACATTTAGGTTGGTTCCATGTCTTGGCAATTGTGAATAATGCTGCAATAAACATGGATGTGCAAGCACTTTTCTGACTGAGCGTTCTCCTGTCTTTTGGGTAAATACCCAGAAGTGGGATTGCTGGATCAAATGGTAGTTCTATTTGTAGATCTTTGAGGAACCTCCATATTGTTCTCCACAGTGGTTGAACTAGTTTACATTCCCACCAACAGTGGAGGAGGGTTCCCTTTTCACCACATCCCCGCCAACACTTATCACTTTTTATATTCTTAATCTTTGCCATTCTGACAGGGGTTAGGTGGTATCTCATTGTGGTTTTTATCTGCATTTCCCTTATGATGAGGGATGTCGAGCATTTCCTCATATGCTTTTTGGCTGTTCGTATGTCTTCCTTAGAGAGACTTTTGTTCAGCTCACTTTCCCATCTTTTAATCGGGTTAATCATTTTTTTTCGCATAAGGCACTTGAGTTCCCTATGTATTCTCGTTATCAGTCCCTTGTCTGAGGCATATTTAACAAAAATATTTTCCCATTCTGAGGGTTGTCGGTTCACACTTGTTACTGTGTCCTTTGCTGTGCAGAAACTTCTTAGTCTAATATAGTCCCACTTGTCTATTTTAGGGATTATTGCCTGTGCTTTGGGAGTCTTATTCAAGAAGTCTTTGCCTACTCCAATGTCTCCCAGAGTTTCCCCAGCATTTTCCACCAGTAGTTTTATTGTCTGAGGTCTTAGGTTCAGATCTTTGATCCATTTTGAGTTGACTGTTGTTAATGGTGAAAGATGGGGGTTCAGCTGGTACCCAGTTTAGCCAGCACCATTTACTAAAGAGGTTTTCCAAAAATATGGAACACTTCACGAATTTGCGTGTCATCCTTGCACAGGGGCCATGCTAATCTTCTCTGTATTGTTCCAATTTTAGTATATGTGCTGCTGAAGCGAGCACCCCAGTTATTTCTTCAAGAGAAATTTTTGCTATATGTGTGCTCACCAGAGAGACAGAGACAGGGAGACAGAAAGAAAGAAATCACATCCCGGGGGGGATGGCCATGTCGCAATTTCTTCTCCCCCATTCTCCTCTCGGGATTTGGAGCACACATGCCCTTTATGAGTTTCATGCCACTAGGTCTGGGACTCACACTTGGTCAGCTATATAGGAGTCCAGTTATGTAACCATCCCTCTATCTGCTAATCCTATCCCAGTTTTTTTTTTTTTTTGTAAATTAAATAATAATAATTGCATTGGGAAACTTTTAGTGGGTTTTAAGCAAGAGAGTATAATTATTTGACTTACTTTTTTTTATTATTTAGGCTTTTTGCCTTAGGGTGCATATGGCCACCTGAGAGACACAGAGAGAGAGAGAAAGAGAGAAAGGGAAAGTGAGAAATCACCATACACACACACAGGGACGGGCACGCTGCAGTCTCTTATCCTCTATTTTCCACTCAAGTTTTTGGGCACACGTGCATATGTACCTGACGTGATTTTCAAGCTGTTGGGTCCAGAACTTGAACCACAGTCAGACATGTGGAAGTCCAGCAATTTTGTCACCACACTACCTGCTGACCCTTTGGTTTACATTTTTTAAAAGACAAAGTCTCACTCTGTTGTGATCCTCCTGCCTCAGTCTCCCAAATAGCTGGGACTACAGGTGTGTATCATTGATCATGGCTTTCAGGTTGGTCCAGAAATCAAACCTGGGCTTCTTGTGTGGCTTCAGCCTGCTGTTCAACAGTGTCTAGTAGTGTGTACTACTGCACTATGCCTTGATTTACCTTTTTAAAAGTTACTTCAAAACTATTTGGAAAAATTATTGTAGTGAGACAAGAGTGGCCCTTGGGAGACCAGTTAGGAAGCTGCCACTGAAGTTCATGCAAGAGATAATGGTGTCTAGGACAGCAGTGGAGATAGAGAGAACTTGAAGCTATATTTGGACTTGAGATATGTTTGAAAGGTAAATTTAATGATGATGAATAATTCATAATTTGATGATGAATTGTGTGAGGAGTGAGGGGGGAAATCAAAACTAATTTCTTCATGTCTGGCTGGATCACTGGGTGATTGGTGGTACCATTTAATGGTTTAAATGAAATGAGAAGGGGGGGTTCATATTTTATTTGAGGTGATTATTAAACATTAATTTGGCACTACCATGTAGACAGACATGGTCAGAGTTCAGAGGATGTGGACTCAGCTGTCAGTGGCAGATAGATAATTTTAAAGCTTTGAAACTGAATAAGATCACCAAGGAGAATGTGTAGACAAAGAAGAGAAAGGAGCTGGAGATTGGCAGCAGTGGCTCAGTGGTAACACAACATTCTGTGATGCTTGACCATGTGGGAAGGCCCTGGGTTCGTGTCCCAAGGTCTCCCTGAGAATTTCAGGCACGTACATATATTCCTATGATCCTGATTGGCTAAGGCTGGGGGTGGATCATGGCATGAGGAACTTTTCTTTTTCTCTTTTTTTTTTCATTATTCTCCCACAGCTTTTTAGTAGTTTCTAAAACAAACCATTCTGACCACTCTTAATAAGCTGCTAGTGCCAAATAGGGTACAATCAAACATAAGCTGACCATGATCAAAGCCCCAACATGAGGAACTTTTAAGGGGTGACATTCTCTCTCCCTCTCTGTTTCTCATAGAAAAAATAAAATGAGGGCAGTTAGCGTAATGGCTATGTCGCTGGACTCCCACATAGTTGACCGCGGTTCGCGTCCCGGACTCGGCAGCTTAAAATCACGCCGGGCACGTGTGCATGCATGCCCAAGATCCTGAGAGGAGAATGGAGGAGAAGGGATTGCAGCATGGCCATCCCCACAAAGGGCTGTGACAGAGAACATTGCCATTCTTCCTAACTGGTGGGGTTAGTCTGGGATTTTGCCAGTTAATTCCCACTTGTAACGAGTAGTAAAATAATTCCCTAAATTTCACACAGCAATCCTAGACCAGGGTCACGAACATAGAATATGTTAAGGACCAGCAGATGGTATAGTGGTTAAAGCAGCCAGATCCCACATGGCTAACCACGGTTTGAGTCCCAGACCCAGTGGCTTGAAAATCATGCCAGACTCATGTGTGCATGCCCACAATCCAAAGAGGAGAATGGAGGAAAATGGATTGCAACGTGGCTGTCCCCACAAGGGGTGATTTCTCACTTTCTCTCTCTCTCTCTCTCTCTCTGGGGAGTGCATGCACCATATGATAATTTAAAAAATAATAATAAATAAAGGCAAATACAGAGCATGTGTGTGTTTGGGGTGTGGGTGGTAAATTAAAGGGGAGGGGTTCCCTTTATTTTTCTAAACCCTCAGCAAACTGACTAGGCATTATAGATCTGTATGCACATGTATTTTAACTTAAGGTAGGGAAAACATTTTGGAGACATTTGAGCAGATTAACAAATAGTATTTGTATACATGTAACTAAAACAGTAATTTATCAGGTAGAAGGCAGATGGGGAGAATAAAATGCCAACCTGTATGTACAGTTGGGTTGTGTTGATGATGAAGTGCTGTTTACTCAGGGCCAGGCTAGCTTGTCAGCAACATAAGAGCCATCGCAGCACATGACTCCCCGCGTAGCTAGAAGACAATAATAAATTATGTCCTATGCAAACAGCACCGGCATAAAAGCAGAACAAACACACTCTGCCTCTTGGATTTCTGAAGATTCTCACTCATTCCCTTGTTTCATTCTGTTTTAAACATGAAAACCCTGACATTATTCGAAGGCCAATAATATCGAATCTGGCTCGGACAATTTTATTAGCATTGATAGGGTGTAAGTACATTATACACAACCTGTTTGGGGGTTACTATAAGATGTAAGCATTTTATTTCTCTAATATGCCTGAGTGATGCACATCATTTTTTTACACCAATATTTCATTTGGTTCTATGAAATTTGAGGCCCACCAAAGGAAAACAGTGTTACACAAAGGAGCTTGAGCATAAGAATCCCTTGAAGAACATGTTGAAAATACAGAGGGCTTGATCCCAACCTGTTAAATAAGACCATCTAGCAAAGGAGCCCAGAACTAAATACCCCAGGATGATTTTTATGATGAGTGGTAACACAATGCTCCAGGTGCCGTGGCCACATGGGAAAGTCCTGGGTTCGCATCCTAGAGCCTCCCTGTAAAAGCTGGTGCACCTGCCTGCCAGTGATCCTGGCTGGCTGAGGCCAGTGGTGAATCATGGCATGAAGAACTGTTGGGGGAGGCGGGTGCTTCTTTCTCTCTCCCCTTCTCTCTCTCTCTCTCATGGAAAAAGTAAAAGTAAGTAAATTTAAACATACACACATATTGGTCTTAATAGTAATAAAATAATATTAATAACCTATTGAGAGAGTCCAAAGGACTGGTTCTTAGGAAAATGTATCAACTAATAAATTAATAAATCCCTCCCTAGAGCAGTGCTTTACAGATGTCAGCATGCATTTGAATCACCTGGGGTTGGTGGAAAATGCAGACTCTGTTTCAGCAGGTCTGGTGCTTGGCCTGACTCTGCATTGTAACAAGTGCCTGGTGCCAACAGTGTTGCTGGACCTGAGTCCTGCAAGCTCCTGGAGCCATCAGTTTAACAGAGAGGAATCCACTTGGACTGGGGCTCAGCCACCAGTTTCGAGTAGCAGATGTTGCATTGGCTTTGTGTAAGACCGATTCTACTGGATCCTAATCTTGTGCTCAGAAAGCGGTGAAACCTGTCCCCTTGTTTGAGTGACACTGGAGTGCGTGATAATTGTTAATACGTGTGAAAATCTCTTAGAAATGTGTCTTCTTTCAAGGAGTCATAAAAGTGCTTTCCTTTCAAAATATTTTTTCATTATGGATGTTAAAAGCCCCAAACAGACCAAATTGAGATTAACGTCTTTTTTTTTTTGCAAATAAGTTAGTTTATACCTCTCTTTAGTAAAAGGGAGAATGAAGAGAGAAAAAATGTTTCAGAAGAAAATGACAATGCACTCATCACTAGATTCTAGCTTTGTCCATGTTTTCAATTTAAGATCTTTCGTGAATCAATGGAAGGGAGGGAGGGGAAAGGGGAAGGAAAAACAAGTGGAAGTATGCTTAATTGACAAAAAATGAGCAGCTGATGCTGATGCTAATGTATATAGTAATATCTTTGTCTTGACTGACATGCATAGTATTTGTGCTGGAAAAAGAAATATTGTACACTGTAAAGACATATGATTAAATGTAAATAAATAAATAAGAAAAAAGAAAGAAAAAAAAATTAATAACAAAATAAAATAAGCTGTTAGTTGATTATATATGGTGATCATATATATATTATATATATATACACATACATATACACACACACACACTATTTTATACAAGGGGACTTTAAGAAGTTCATGGAAAATGAAATTAAAATATTACTTCATTTTGGTGCAAAAATTTTTGAAATCCATGCATTATTTTTTCTGATACACATTTTCCATGGAGTGTTTGAAGACCTCACACATACATAAACACCTACACACACTATGGAAGAGGATTGTAGATTATATAGCATGGGTTTATCTCATGCATATCTCTCTCCAGTCATTCAACAAACATTTCCTGAGCAACTAGTATATGCCGAGTAGTATGCTAGGGGCTAGCATGTGATCCTCATTGTACTTCTTTATCATGCAGACAAAGTGGATCTTGCTGCAGTTAATAAAACTCGAAGAGGCCAGAACTTTTTCTGTGACTGATGTGAACCTCAAGTCTGGATGCTTTTGTAATTATTCAGTCCTCCATAGCTACCACATAGAGCTGGCAGATCTGACATTGCAGCTCTTCAAAACTTTCCTGGACTTTTATACTGGAATAAAAATCACTCAATGTGGGGCCAGCAGGTGGTGTGGTGTTTAAGGGTGCTGGCCCACATGGCCAACTGCTGTTCAAGTCCCGGACCTGGTGGCTTACGCTTACTTTCTCACTTTCCCTCTCTCTCTCCTTCTGTCCCTCTCTGGTCAAATTAAAATGAATAAATAAGTCAATAAAGTTAAAAAAAATAATTCTTTAAAAATAAATAAATCACTCAGTGAACGCCACTAAATTCAGCCTTAGAAATTTCTGCTTGGAGGTAATAGCAATCACTAGAAAACAGAATTATAGGAAAGAACATTTGTTCCTTTTTTTTTTTAAGTGATTGTGATAGTAGTCAGCAGACACTCTTTTATAGATCTTCAAAATGATAAAAGGAATACAAGTAAGTATTTAAATAAATATTTTAGGAAAAATATGTTTAGGTATTTGTTCCTTGTTCAAAATGTTCTTTTGTTTTTTAATTTTCCAGAGGGAATATGTGCCCACAGAGAGAAATAGCGAGAGAGAGAGAAAAAGCACCCCTCTTGGGGGATAGTCATGCCACAATCTCTCCTCCACCTTTCCGGATTTTGGTCACACATCCACATGCACCTGGTGTGATTTTCAAGGCACCATGTCTGGGACTCAAACTGCACACTCGACCGTGTGGGATCCTCCTGCCTTAACCACGTCACTGGCTGGCTCCAAGCAATTCTTTTTTTTTGAAGAGATTTTCACTGTAGGGCGCGTGCGCTCGCCAGACAGACAGAGAGAGACATAGAGACAGAAAGCGAGAAATCACCCCCCAGGGGGGATG